CTAGTTCTTATAACATTCCATTCAGCTGCATGCTGCCACGTGGCTAGTGGCTTTTACTTCTGCATGTCTTATATCCTCTGCATCTGGCTGGCGACTCCATCTTTCTTCTTCCCAGAGTTCTCTCTGTCCAGAAGTCCCTGTTATACCTCCAGCCTAGCCAGTTATTGGCTGTATAGCTGTCTATTAAACCAATCACACGGACATATCTTTACATAGTGCAATCAAATATCTCACAAGAGAAGGGGCTGTGGGATCCCCTGGAACTAGAATTACTTATGGTTGTTGAGCTACTATGTGGAGTCTAGGAACTGAGCCCAGGTCCCCTGCACTGAGACTAAGAGTAGTATCTTTTGCCCAGGTTTAGGTTTTTATTTTGCCTGTCACCAGAAAAAACTCAGAGAGATGTAGTGCAAATTAAAAAGAAAAAGAAGAGTCCTATGTAACCCTTCACACTTGGATAGGAGAAATGAAGGATGGAAGGAGGCTGGCTCACACCGTGGACGAGGCTCCTGACTTACTCCACAGTCTGTCACAGCAGATGTTTCATTCAAGTCCACACGGTGGAGAGGTGCCTGGAGTTGCTTCTGCTTCACAGAATCAATTCTAGATCAGAATTTTCCTTTGAGAGTTCTTTTGGAGTCTGGAAGATTCTCAAACAAGGGCAGGGCATTTTCCCCAAACTCAGGGAGTTTGCAAACTTCAGCTTCAGTACCATGCACTAACAGGAATACAGGACCACAGGGACCCAGCTCACCTTCTCCCTCATTTAAAAGGGCCTCCCTCTGCTAGCAAGCTGCGCAAAGTGGACAGAAAGAACTGTTTCTGATTGCTTTTCGGGCTGGGGGGGGGGACTTAATTGGGGGAGGGGGAGAGAAATGGGAGGCGATGGCGGGGAAGAAACAGAAATCTTTAATAAATAAATAAATTTAAAAAATAAAAAAAAGAAAATACATTTAAGGTTAGGAGACTTGAGTATTAAACTTGTGCACATGAAAAAAAAAACTGTTTCTGGGTTAAACAGCCCCACTGTCGACTCTAACTTTGGGCAAGGCCTTTTAGATGCCCCCTTTCAAAATCTAAAATGTGTTGATATTATCAAGTCGATGAGATAGCGATGAGGTGTGTCTGACGTGCCAGCAGCACAGTAAGCGGGGGTGAGCACACAGTTCTGTGACCCTGCAGCCAGTGCTGAGGAGAGAATGGGGATCCAGCAGCAAAGTAAGCGGGGGTGAGCACACAGTTCTGTGACCCTGCAGCCAGTGCTGAGGAGAGAATGGGGATCCAGCAGCATGTGCTGGATAAGGAGGAGGAGAGTCAAGGGAGCTCCATGGAGACACTGCAGGACCACAGAGGTTTCAGCTTTCTTAGGAGGCGATGTCCCCTAACTTTGGAGTGAGACTGCCACCAGGTGTGGCTGAGAAAGAGCTTCAGAGCCTGGGTTCCCAGGCTGTGCCCCATGGAGGATTCCAGAGGCTGTGCTCTTGGCATAGATAGAGGTGAGCTGGTGCCAGTTCTGGCAGGCTCTGCAAGGGTTGGGGAATAGACTCCTCAGGAGGGCCAGCTAGGTGGAAGGTCTAACGCTGGGAAGTCTGAAGCATTCTCAAAACGGCCCAGGAAAGGCAGCTACGGGCAGTCGGACCTGAATACTTTAGCTGCCACCTGCCACAGTATTAGGAGGGATCAGACAGAAAACTAGACCTTGACTGGTCTGCTGGCGTAATCTCCCCTGCCAGGGTTTAGCCATTTCAAACTATGAGTTGCTTTTCCCAGATTGCTATAAAATTCTGGCTGGTAAAACTGAACTCTGAGAAGGACATAAGAACAGGGCAGCAGGAAATCTGGTCCAAAATTCAGGAGTCCAGCAACCCTCAATTCTCACTTTGGCCTTTGACACTAGAAGAACAGAGTTCATACATGATATTCCCAGCAGAGATGAGCCGACTGAGAGCTCCAGGTGAGGGAGGAGGGGAGGGAAGAGGATGTGACCTAGACCTGACCACTGCTGGTAGCAGGAGAGTAAAGTGGGATTTAAAAGGCTTGGGGGCAAACTCCTGTCTCTTCATGTGGTAAACTGGGGCTTCAAGAGACCTCAATGGGTGGTTGTACTGACTGAAAGAGCAGATTGTTTTCCCCTAGCTCTCCAGCCTGCCAGACACCTCGCGCTCCCAGACTACCCCCAGCGGCCTCGGAGAAGGGAGGCGGGTGGAGGCCACTTTTGAATCCCCAAGCCTGGATGCACAAGACCGTGTAGCGGCAAGATTCCGCCCACTCTAGAGGGTGCACCAGGACTGCGTCTCCGCCGCAGCGCCAGAGCGTCAGAAGCACAATGCCATCCGGGATGCACACCCAAACCACCACTTGCCAGAGGACGGGCCCGCTCACCTACCACGGACACTGCTCCCCCGCCGCAGCTCCGCTCCTGACTCCCGCCTCTCCCGCTCCGAGAGAGCAAGTCCACGTGGGGGCGGGGCGACTCACCCGGAAGCGGCTCTCCTTCTGCCCGCCCCCACGGGCGTGCAGCCTACGCTCCCTTCAGGGCAGCCTCTGCTCGCTCGCTGGGCCTGGCCCACGCTCCGAGGGTGAAATCTTGGCCAATCTGGAGCCTTCGGGGAGCCCGAGAGCCCGCCTACCCCGCTTCTCCGGTCCACACACCATCCGACCCCTTGGGCCTCACTTGAGTGGAGAAGGCCCGAGCCTCTGCGCGGACCCTGGCTTGTCCTTCCGAACTCACCTAAGAGTTCTCTAGGTCTCTTCTTAGCCTCCAGCAAAAAACTGGCTGTTGCTCTTTGGTTAAAAAAAAAAAAAAAAGGATGTTCAGGACGATAAAACACAGGATTTTGGCGGACTATGCACTTTAAAGTTGTTGCACTCAGCAGCAGACGGCCCATTTTAGACAAATTTATTACAGCGTAATTAATTGTCCAGCCCTTGATCTGTGGATGGGTTGAAAGATGTGGATATTGAAAATAAAGAAAAGTAACCACATATGACAGGGGTATCATGTTTACCTAAAATGTATACATTAAAATCTGACTAAAGGGAGCAGACTGGTGGTTTACCCCTTCAACCCAGCACTAGGAAGTAGAGACAGGTGGATCTCTGAATTTGAGGTCAACTTGGTCTACAAAGTGAGTTCCAGGCCAGCCAATGCTATTACATAGTGATAGCTGTCTCGACATAAAAAAAACAACAAAAAAAACAACAGACAACACGATTAATTTAAAAATTTAGCCAGGCAGTGGTGACGCACAAATCCCAGCACTTGGGTGGCAGGGGCAGGTCAATCTCTGAATTCAAGGCCAGCCTGGTCTACAGAGTGAGTTCCAGGACAGTTAGAGGTGTTACACACAGAAACCCTTCTCGAAAAACAAATTAAAAAACAAAATCAATCAAACAAAAACAAGAAAAAGTTAAACAAAGTTATGTGGACGCTCAGAGCATGGAGTCTGGGGTTTATGAGGCCAGAAACAAAGACTTGGGGTGGGGGGTGAGGCCCTGAGTGGAGGGAGGCATGGGTGTGACTGCTCACTAGTGAGAGGGTGGAAGAGTAGCTGTGTAACACTGTAAATGTGCTTAGTACCAGCAAATCTTCAGTTAAAAATGGTTAAGTTTATGATCTGTGAATCTCATTTTGGATTTTAAACATTCACTAGAAAATTCAGACTTAAAGGTGCAATATGAGAAGTCGGATGAAGGGTACATGAGAACTGCACTCCTTGTAATTCTTCTGTATCTGAAATTATCCCAACCATTTACAAAGTTTACGAAAATAAAAACAGAAGGCCAAAGGCCACTGGATCATGATCTCAGTAATTTCTCGTAAAAGAGCTTTAACTTCCTATAAGATAGGGGGCTAGCACACAAAAAGATTTTTTAAGTGTTTATTTTTATGTGTGAATGTTTTGCCTGCCTGCATGGCTATGCACCACCTGCCTGCAGTGACAGGAGGCCAGAAAGGGGCATGGGATTCCCTTGAACTGTAGCTACAGACATTTTCAGCTGCCACGTGGATCCTGGTCCTCTAGAAGAGTGTCACTGCTGAGCCATCTCTTCAGACCCTCAAAGTAGTTTTGAATGAATTAGAACAAGATCCATACTACTGAAGCACTCTGCTTAGAGATGAGAAACTTACCTTGGTCTGCTGGAAAACCTTCAAAATCCAGATGCCATTATGGGGAGGTGTAGACTGACTGAGAAAAAGCTGATGGATGACTTCAAAGATTCTTCCAGATAGAAAAGGTTTCTCTTAGACAGTTAAAAAGTTTGGCTAAGGATGAACTAAAGACATAAAGAAGAACTTTTTTTTTTGTTTGTTTGTTTGAACATACTAGGCAAGTACCCTGTTAACTGAGTCCTTTCCATTTCTATTGGCAAACAAACGGCCTTATGGTGTTATTAGATGGTAGATCTCACAAAGTAAAGTTATGTTCTAGGAAGATCTATTTGCTAAGTATTATACATGGAATGAAGAAAGGATATCAAATGACCATTGGGTTCTTTGTGAAATAAAGTTGACTTAAGAACGATATAGAGCTGTGGTTAAGACCTAACAGAGGTAACAGAAATGCTGTTTGATAGGAGTTAAGAATTAATACCTGGCTAGGCGGTGATGGCTCAAGCCTTTAATCCCAGCACTGGAGCAGAGGCACTGGGGCACAGAGGCAAATCTCTCTGTGAGTTCAAGGCCAGCCTGGTCTACAGAGTGAGTGCTGGGACAGTCAAGGCTACTTGAAAACAACAAACATACCTGGAAGCACTTTGAAAAGTGCTAGACACATAAAGAGCTTAAGACGTGGGAGCTAGTCATGTATACAGAGTAACCAAGAGACTCTTGGAAAATGTTGGCTGTGGGTATGCTCACTCATCTGCTGGTGATCCAGAGATACAGGGTTCTGTGCTTCTGTGTGTGTGTGTGCGTGAGAGAGAGAGAGAGAGAGAGAGAGAGAGAGAGTGATCGATCTAGATGGGTCCTTTCCAAAAGCACATTGTATGAGTCATCATTTTAAACAAAAATGTTCTTTATTTGTATAAAGCATTAAAATCGTCTCAGCAGTCCCCAGTCACTTTCAATAGTCTTCACCGCAGCCACTCACCCAGCTCACAGTATCCAGCTATATTACATTACTTGTCAACCTCAAGTGCTCAGCTAAAACAAAAAAGTGCGTGGAGCACTGAATGGGGAGAAAGGGAAGGCCAGCAGACACTTCCAAAGCCACAGCGTGGCAGCTCTGGCGCTAGATTCCCCAGCACCGTTATATCTGCCTGGAGCTTCAGAGGCATTTCAGGAGGACGAAGGAATCTGAGGAACTTGCACTTTGGGATAGTATATAGGTTATTAAAGATCCTAGACTGGAAGATGAAATAAGTAAAAGGAGGAGAAAGTGGGGCTGGGAAGCAGAGGCAGGAGAGAGATGTATGGGGGAAAGAGCTAGAGGAGAAAAATTCTGGAACTTGTCAAGAGTTCAGGGAATGAAAAGCAGCAGCTGCAGGTCAGGGAAATGGGCTAATGAAGAGAGAGCCTGAGATTTTATGCCTTCCAGGGGGTAGCACTAAATCTTACAGTGCAGGCACTGAGTTACTGCCAAAGATTGAGCCATCTGTTTTTAAGAATTGGCACCATTTTTTTTGACAGATTACAATCGACATTAAGAATTTAAGAATGTATGTGCAGCCACCACAGCAGACGGAACATCTACAGTCAATAAAGAAGGGCTACAGGCTAATTAACTCTAGACAATAAACTAACAAGTAATGCTACAATCCAGTGACGAGATTACCTTATTCTCCTACAGCTTTTTAGTCATTTCTTAAAGAGCAACCATTCTGACCTACTGCTAACACTGTACAATCAAACAGGGTGACTGCTCAAAGCCCCGTTTCTCCCCTGAGCCTTTAGGGCCTCTGTGAACTGAAACACAGCAGCCAACATGGAAGTTATTACTTTTTTGGAGGGGCAGGGAAATGGGATCAAAAAGTAGCTAGTCACATACTTAAGTAAACAAACGATATCAAACTATTTAGTCATTCAGAATCCCTTATACTAAAAAGTCACAACCTCCAGACTGATTCTTCAGGTTCTCTGAGTGTTGGAAGAGCTGATTTTCATCTTTCTGGTCAGTTTTTATTTTGATCTCAGGCACCTGTGCCAAAGATGGCTCTGCCTTGCAGGGAAAGGCTTCACATGAAAACACTGTAGGTGGTCACTTCCATGGCGCCACAGTCTGCCCACTCTCCACTCAGTTGTCTACTTCCTCCTCTTCATTCTGTTCTTCCTCATCCAATCGTTCTTCATCTTCATCGTCTTCCTCCCTGCTCTTGTCCTGCTCTTCCGAATCTGTTTTTTTGTCTTTGTCCTTCTTCTTTTGCTCGGAAGCCTCCTTCTTGCCTTTTTGTTCCCGCCTGTATGCTGTAAGGAAGCTGCAGATTATTGCAAACCAAGGCATAGAAAAATAACCAGGCCCATATCACATATCTCAGATGGTACCAACTAAACAGAGGAATCGTGACCAGTGCCAGATTACTGCAATCAAGGTCATCAGGGAACAAAGAATGATCATCTTTCATATGGCTTAAGAAACCGAAGAGCGGATGGATACCTTCTAGAGCTTCTTTCAACGGTGTAACGAACCGCTGGAACTCCATCTCTTCCATGGCTGACAGCACATCACTGGCATTGAGAGTCTTGCGCTTCCCTTTCATTGCGAAGTTGTTCGCACTGAAGAAAAAAGCAAAACCCCTTCAGAAGCTGTCAGAGTGGGTGGGAAGAAGAGACACCAAGAGGTGGGACGGGAAAATCCGTATTTATCTTAGATTCATGGGTTTTGTGAACACGACTCAGTTCATTCCTTCCCCGTACAAAGGGCAATGGGAACCTTGTTTAACCTGCTTCAGAATTTGTGGGAACTGGAGGAGTGCTCTCTCTATTGGAGCAGGGAACTCTACTGGGGCCACGAAGTCGGGGACGAGATCCCGCAGAGCCTTCCTTCTGCCTCTGCTCGACTCACCAGGATGTGGCATACAGAACGAAGACGCTGGCGGCGCGGGAGATGGCGCTCCGGGCCTCCTTGGAGATGTTGACGCCGTCCGGGAGCTGCGAGAGTGGAGATAAACACACACGCGGATCTTGTTAACCTCCGGCTAGCTCGTCCGCCCTCGACCCATTCGCCAGCCCGAGCAGCTCACCGCTTCCTTAATGATCCTAGAAATGACGGCGTTGGGCAGATTTAGGTCCTCAGGCCTCTCCGCCATGGCCTCCGCTGGAGCCCGAGCCTCCCCCGGCTCAGGCCTTCTCTTCAGACAGTTCTGGTGTCTGGACTTCCCGCGTCGGTAAGATCTGACCCTCGGAGGCTTCCGTCCCACCCCACGTTGCCAGTGCCCCACAGTGCTTTGCGCCACAGCCTCCCTTCTTCAGCCCCGCCTAAAGTCGGCGGTTTAGCCAAGCTTTCCATATCGTGGTGGTTTCGGCTCACTGAGGTTCTCGCTAGCTTCGACCGTATCCTTCACGTTCCTCTCTAGACTCGTTTCTTTGCCACGTACTGTCACTATTACTAGGACTTTCGTACCAAACTAAGTTTGGCTTTCTGAGTTTTCCGTCTATTCTCCCATTGTGCCTTGCGCCGCTGCTAGGCAACGGGGCGGCATGGTGCCTATTGTGGTTGTGGGAAGGCTAGACTGAGCCAAGGGGCGAACTCCGCCGGACATGATGGGCGGGACTCTGGGGGAGGGGCGGGGCCCTGGGGGCGTGGGCGGAGCCAAAGCCTCGCAGTGTTTTCGCTGTCTCAGCATTGTCCCTAGAACAGAGGGCTTTGGAATCAATCTCCTTTTATGCCTCGGAATCGCTGACCACTGACACTTTTTTATTTTCTTTTTTTGGCTCGGAACTCAGTGGAGATTTTCTTTCAATTTTACTGCACCGATGTCCATCTTTAATCTTATTTCACTTTCATCTTTGTGATACTCGTATTAAGGGTAAATGTTATCTAAAACTTTGTTATTTTTTTTTAATGCCAACTATTTTATTAGAACAGCTATAAGGCTGGTGATATCGGGAGACACCTGATGAGACTCCGGGGTTCAGTTTGGACTGGTCCGGTCCTGAAAGGGCGAAAAGCATCTGAGTGTAAGAATAATGCATCATATTCTCATTCAAAAGCCCGTGTTAAAGTTGTATTTCTTAATTCATTAAGTGATTCAGCGTACATATTCCCCATCAAACTCTTTACGAGGTTTTACATTTACAATGACGTTTTAAGTTATAAAATTTTTGTATTAAGTACAGGAAAAATTCTTACTGAGAACTAATGTTGGTGTCTCTCTCTCTCTCTTTGTTGCTTTCTTTCTTTTCTTAAAACATGGTCCAAGACTTGTTTTCCCACTTTTCATGAGGACATAATTACAAAGAAATATTTTCCAGCACTCGGGAGGCAGAGGCAGGTGAATCCCTGTGAATTTGAGGCCAGCTTGGTCTACAAGAGCTAGTTCCAGGACAGCCAGGATTGTTACACAGGGAAACCTTGTCTTGAAAAAAAATTGCAAAAACAAAAAAGTTAAAAAAAGAAATATTTTCCTATTGGGAGAAAAAGAAACCCACAACAAGGTAAAGAGGGTGATGAATGGCACTGAGGGATTGTTATGGCAAAAAGAGCTCCGCTCTTAGGCCTGTTTTAAAGACTTCCTCAGCCTTAGTTCCAGCCACTATTTAGCTGATCTAGAAGAGAAGCCAGAAATCTGCATATAATGAACCATTTCGGTGCCAAGATACTGGCTCAGTCCAATAGTTTCCTACTTCTGATTTAAATTGCAAGCTGTTTAGAACAGAGTTTGTTTATTGCTGTTCTCCATGCCCCAAACAGGTTCTCTCACATATTTAGTAGTCAATAAATGTGTTGACAGTGTCCTTAAAAAGTTAATAAGGGGACCAGTGAGATGGTTCTGAGGTAAGAGAAACTTTGTACCAAGGCTGAGGACCCGAGCAGTCTCTGGACTCACGGGAGAATGGGCTCCTGCTCACTCACATGTGTACTTTAGCACCCGAACCCACAAATAGATGAATAAAACACAATTATATCTTAAAAGGAATAAGGTAATTGTAGGCACTACATGACATTTTAAAAAAGGGAATAATACTTATTTTTAGTATAATTTTATTTGTGTGTACATTTAATGTAATGTCCTTAAATGTGTACTAGTATTCCTGTGCCATGCTGGTATGGAGGCCAGAGGACTACCCTGAGTCTTGGTCTTGCCTTCTACCTGAAGACACCATCATATGCCAGGCTAGTTAACCCATAAGCTTCGCGGGAGTCTCAGACCTCTGCTTTCTATTTTATAGTGGGAGCAGTGGGGTTACAGACGTGTACTGTGCCTTACCTCATGTGGATTTGGGCGTTGAACTCAGTCCACATGTTTTGCCCTCTCAGTGCTCTGGCTATGGAGCATCTCCCCAGCCTGATGATATTTATTGAGTACTTGCTATATGGTCCTATTTAGGAATTTATATCTTATTCGATGCTTTTACATTTTTTTTTTTTCGAGACAGGATTTCTCTGTGTATCTCTGGCTGTCCTGGGACTCACTCTGTAGATCATGCTGGCCTTGAACTCACAGAGATCCACCTACCTCTGCTTCCCCAGCACTGGGACTAAAGGTGTGGGCCACCATACCCATCAATGCTTCTACAATTTTTACAAAAATAATTAAAATTTTTTTGAGATCATAATATAATTATATCATTTCCTCTTCCCTTTCCTCTCTAAACCTCCCATGTATCCCTGTTCTCTTTTAAATTCATGACCTTTTTTCTTTGTTTTATCTATATACATATATGTATATGTATGCTCCTACAATGTAAAAAATTTATTTTATTTTTTGAGATCATAATATAATTACAACATTTTCCCCTTCCTTCCTCCATACTCTTTCATGTAAGCCCCCTTCTCTTTTTCTTTATTGTTACATATGTGTGTGTGATACACACATATACACACATACACACACACACACACCCTTATATACACATATAGTCTGCTCAGTCTGAATAATGTTGTTTATATGTTTTCAGAACTGACCATTTGGTATTATCGAATTGTTGTGGCCTTTCCTGGGTAGACTATTTCTCCAAATCTCAGCATTCCTTAGTGGCCTCATGAGCTTTTCTTCTTTTCTGCTAGTATGTCTATTGGTGTTGTTTTTGTTTTTTTTTATATTTATTTATTTATTATGTATACAGTACTCTATCTGTGTGTATGCCTGCAGGCCAGAAGAGGGCACCAGACCTCATTACAGATGGTTGTGAGCCACCATGTGGTTGCTGGGAATTGAACTCACGACCTTTGGAAGAGCAGGCAATGCTCTTAACCACTGAGCCATCTCTCCAGCCCCCTGGTGTTGTTTTTGTTAAGCTCATGTTAAGACAATCATGTTGATAGGACTTCATGGGTGTAGCTTCTGTGTACCAGACTTTTGTGGGCCACCAACCAGCTCCCAAATCATGACATGGAGACTTAATTATTAGTTATGAATGCTCAGCCTAGCCTAGACTCATTTCCAGCTAGCTCTTTTAACTTGATCTGTTTCTCTTTATCTACCTTTCTTCCTTCTGTATATCTTATGTCCCTCACATTTCCCCTCGTGTAGATTCTCCTCCTTTTCTCTTTAGATTTTTCCTCCTATTTATTTTCTCTGCCTGTCAGTCCTGCCGATCTCTCTCTTGCCTAACTATTGGCCATTCGGCTTTTTATTAGGCCAATCAGGTTTCTTAGGCAGGCCAGGTGAAACAAGTGCAACACAAACAGGTGTAACATATCCTTACATGTTAAACAAACGTAGCACAAACAGGTGTAACATATCCTTACATGTTAAACAAACGTAGCACAAACAGGTGTAACATATCCTTACATGTTAAACAAACGTAGCACAAACAGGTGTAACACATCCTTACATGTTAAACAAACGTAGCACGAACAGGTGTAACACATCCTTACATGTTAAACAAATGCAGCACAAACAGGTGTCACATACCTTTACATAATCAAAATAATATTCTACAGCATAAGCAAATGTGACACATCTTTGCCCAGTTAAAATAATATCCCAAAACACTTCTGACATTTGTTTGTTTTGGAGACAGGGTTTCTGTGTGACATCTTTGGCTGTCCTAGAACTCACTTTGTAGATCAGGTTGGCTTTGAATTCACAGAAATCCACCTGCCTCTGTCTCCTGAGAGTTGGGATTAAGGGTGTGTTCCACCACCATCCTGCCCAGCTTCTGACATTTCTAGGAGACCCAATCTCACAGTAAAACCCTTGCTTCTCTGTTTCCATCTACCACAGTGGTTCCTGAGGCATAGGTATAAGAATTGTGTTGTAGCTGTACCACTGGGACTGGGCTCTTTAACTCTGCATTTTGATTGGATGTGGTTTTCAGTAATGGTCTCTGTTGCAAAGAGAAGTTTCCTTATTGAGGGGGTGAGGTCTAGGCTTATCTTTGGGTATAAGGACAAATACATAGAGCATATGTTAGTTTAGTAAATTGGTGGTTGTAGGTTCTTCCCTAGCTCTAGGTAGCTGACAAGGTTTCCAGTACCAGGCATGATCTCCCACTTGTTAAGTGGGTCTTAAGTCCTATGAAAAAGCTGTTGGTTACCACCAAGGTGTGCATGCCTCTATTTTACCGCTATAGTTATGATGCCACGTTGTTCATTGATGTGACTCATAGGCATCTTTGATTGCTTCTCTTCTTTGGAAGAAATTCTTTCTTGGCACCTCTGGTAACATGAAAGCTAGTCTTTGGGGAGGAGGCTTTCAAGTTAATTTGAGCTCTGTGTCTGAAGTGTATTATGTCTTCAGTAATAGGATCTTTCCTGCCACCTTTGGGGGGCAACCAAGGACAGTAGCAATAGACTGTAATGTTTTGGGAGTCTCTTGGACAACCCTGACCAACAACTAAAAAGAAGGTTTCTCATACCTAGTGTTGTGGATTTTGTTGTTGTTGTTGATGACCTATGGCTCTTAGGGGGAGCACTCTCAGCCCAGATGGGAAAATTTCACTTAAACGCTATCTGTCTATTTATATACTGACTTACGTGTATTATAGGTACTTTTAGGTAGATAGACATAGTGGTGCACATCTTTAATCTCAGCACTGGAGAGGCAGAGGCAGGTGTATCTCTGTCAGTTCGAGGCCAGCCTGGTCTACAGAGTGAGATCCAGGACAGCCAGAAATACACAGAGAAACCTTGACTCAAAAACCAGAAAAGTGCAGCCAGGCGGTGGTGGCGCATGCCTTTAATCCCAGCACTCGGGAGGCAGAGGCAGGCGGATCTCTGTGAGTTCGAGGCCAGCCTGGTCTACAAGAGCTAGTTTCAGGACAGGAACCAAAAGCTACGGAGAAACCCTGTCTCGAAAAATTCAAAAAAAAAAAAAAACCCCAGAAAAGGATGATTCCTTAGGATCTTTTCAGACGTTCTACTGTTATTTTATCATACTCCCCACTTGTATATTTATCCCCCACCTTCTAGTCAGAACTCCTTATTTTCACCATTTCTTTCTTCAGATCATTTGTGCCCTGCTCGTCCCCTCT